ATAGTTAAAAATGAAAACACATGGGATCTTTTATGAGATTCAGTTAAAGGAATTGTCCATTTTGGAAAATACACTTATTCAAGAGTTAGATAAGAAGATTGACTCTCCTTTCATGCCATTGTCATTATTCACTACCACTTACCCCAGAACTAGGTCAGGGAGGCGGCAGTCTAAGTAAAATATCCCATGTGTCCTAAACCCCGCAACACAGCCACAACACAATAGATCAGTACAGCTTCCTCTCCAATCTGCCAGCTTCTGCTTCTACATCTACCCTAACTCATCAGCATGAACCCAAGATACTTCAACTTCTTCACTTGGGGCAGTCCATGTTTTCCAGCAGGGCATTGTGGCTTCAGATTTGTAGGTGCTGATCCCCATCCCAACTGCTTCACCACTCGGTTGCAAACCACTCGAGTGCACGTTGAAGGTCACAGCCTGATGAAACCAGCAGGACCGCATCATCTGCAAATAGCAAGGATGCAATCCTGAGGTTACCAAACTGGATGCAATCCAGTCCTCTGCGCTGCTTTTGAGATCCTGCCCATGAAGATCAGGAAAAGAATGAGGCACGGCCCTGGCAGCGTCCAGCATGCACAGGAAACATGCTAGAATTACTGCAGAGAATGCAGACATAGCTCACGCTTTGGTTATACGGAGACAACCCACACTTTTACAGCTACATATTGTGAGGGACACAATCATAGGCTTTCTCCAGGTCTACAAACACATGTAGACTGAACAGGCAAGTTCAAAGGCAAAGGTCCGACAACTGGCCTTTTCAGGGAGGTTGAACAGTGCAAGAGTTGCAGAGAGTTGGAACATAGTGTTGTGAAGCCTTTTTTCAAACATGGGACCACCATCCCAGTCTATAAATCCCTAAACGCTCATCTACACTTGGTGCCTTGCCATCATAAAGTTTAAACTATCTTGGAGGCCATCAGGGAAATAGACAAAACTTCCCCCAAGACTCTGGCTCCTTCTTCAAGCACACATCAGATGGTTTCGGTCACTTGAGTAAGTGTATTTCCGAAATGTTGAACTTTTAAGTTTGTTTTTATTTGCCTTTTGGTTTAACAAGGCAGCAGAAAACTGAAGGATGTGTTTAGACAATTGCTTTCACAACAGCGTAAGGTCTCGACCTTGAATGTTTTGTGGCTAATGAAGAAGCGCCCACATAATCCTGAATGTGTCACAAAAGTGGCATGCAGTTCAAATCGGCCACACTGAGCTGAATCATGAGAATAGTTTTCCATCAGCAGAGGTCAGCTGGAGCTCTGTCATCACTATTGTTTGCAGACTGATCCCGTTCCTGCTGCAGTCAGCAGACCTCCTCAGAGATGTGCATTAATGAGGCGCATTTGGCCTCTGCGTGTACCCATTCACAATCACATGAACTGTGTACAAAGCGCTTCTTTGAGACTCCTCTAAACGTGTCTGTGGTGTGCAGTCCATCTGACTCAGCTGTAGCTGCAAAAACAAAAATGTGCAGCTGATCAGACAGAAGACACCACAATTTGTCACTGGGCTCCTCGTCCTAATTACTCACAGAGACTCTCAGCTCTTCACCACTTTCTAATGGCTTGGCTAATTATGGGTTAACCCTTCCTTGGTAAGTAGGGACCTACGAGAAAGGAGCACAAGAATGCGGAGTAATGGGTTATTCTTTAAAAAGGAATACAAATATGTGCTGCTGGCTGACAGCTAGTGACGTCTGTGGCTTCATGTCCAGGCCTTGCAGCAGCGAAGAGTGAAGCAGGACTAATTGCAGAAAAATAATTTGAAAGGTAGACGGAAAGCAATGCCTTTGTCTGCATGTTTATTGATATAAGTTCCTCTGTGCAGGAGTAGTGTAGGAGAAAAGATAATCATTTAGTAAAGCTGAATTTTCGCAGGTTTGGTAGCATTTATTCAACAAATAAATATTTCCCTGATGACACCCAAGTATATCTTGCCAATATAAAATCCAACTGGACAAAACTGCTTTATTTTAATGTAAAGATTAAATGCAGAAAAGCTGTGAAATCAGTATCAATGCTTTGGTGAAGAATTCCTTTTCACCTCTGTTTGCCCTTTCAGAAAGTTGGTCCAACCTTTTGCTCCAACATTTTTAACAGTTTTCCTAATTAACTTTCTGAGCACTGCGCTATAATTGCTGATAGGAATGAGAACCAAAACTACACAATTAGGGTCCTTATTTTTTTTAAAAGACCAGTGGCTCGGATCCAACTTGTGAATTTAGGTCAGGTAACAATATCTCTGTCTCTTATCCCTTTATCTTGTTCCTTGAAAATTCATGTTGCGAATTTTCTAATCTTCTCTCTAAGTCAGCATTGCCCTAATGGAAGTGTGTTTTTTGTAAACTGCACAGTGTTTTAAAAACTGAGCTCATTAATCCTTGGTCTTAAGTTGGGATATAACACAGGCCTCCTGAATTATAAGACATATTTTTCCAAATCCAAAACCTGATTTGAGAGAAGCTTTTATAACCAAACATTCTTTTGATAAGAAGTCTGGCTCAATTAAAGCCATCAAACCTGCAACTAGATATGACCATAAACCCAGACAAGAGGCAACTAGGGGAACAAATAAATATTTCCATTGGCTCTTCTCCAGCTTTTCCTCTATCTGCTCTTATGTAGGTCAGACTTCTCAGTGTTTTATTTTTTTATTTTTTGACATATCGCTTCCTTCTCAATAAGTTTTATGAAAAAAAAAATGTCTGAAACAAGACCGCCCGCAGGCTCTGGCCTTTTTCTCATAGTCAGACACCAGACATGCGTAAGTCGTCATGTCAGAATCACACAATTCAAAATTTCCACCTCGACACACAGCTGCATTCTTGGACTGGTCACAGACACAGACTGGGAGAATGAGTTCACATCGCTGCACAACCGGTGGAAAATATTTGTAGTTGCATGTCTGAAATGTTGACCGTGAAACAAATGCATGACAAAGCGTGAGTTTATAGGCTACAGTGAAATGCTACAAGGCATGCAGGCCACCCATACCTCACCTTTACACTTACTGTAGCTGCAGATGTGAAGGCAGCTAATTAATGCACAGATTTCACAGAGAGGAAGCAGAGAACTTGAGCAAATGCACTTTTTTTTATAGTCCACACCTCATCTGCTACCTCTTCCTTCGGTTTAATTTTAATACTGACCTATAAATTCGCTCAGCGTGGATTCTGTAATCTCTCTTCCTCTTGCGGTATTCACGGGGGAAACTGAAGGAAAGCTTGTTAGTGCTCTCGGTATAACGATTGTTCAGCTGGAACAGAATCTCACACCAACATGTGGAATAGCTACAACAGCAGTAGAACGTATTAGTTTTACAATAAAAGCTGTAAAATCTGGAGATTCCCACTGTTTTTCTGGCCTGTTCTCTTCTATTGGGCAATAACCATCATGTGACTTAAATGTCATGTTGTGTTACTTGAGATCATCGTTCACTTTACACATAGAAACACAAAGTGCACATTAGGAGAATGGAAATGGCAAACACCACAGGTCCTTTTTTTTTCCCTTTGGGCCATTCGTATTTTCATTTGTAGTCACTGTTTCTGTCATCTTCAGTCACTGTTTGCTTTTATTTATGCTACTAATTGCCCCTCAGGGATCAATAAAGTTTTTTTCTGATTCGGATTCGGACTCTGAAAGCTACATTAGTACATTTAGGTGCCAATATTGGTTGGGTTTAGGACAAGATCGCACTTTACTTTCATCATCAGTGGCTGTCATTTTCAGTCACTGTTTGCTTTTGTTTCTATTACAAAGCTATACCTACTTTGTTAGGTTTAGGAAACAAGCATGGTTTGGGTTCCAGTACACCCACTAAGCACAGAGCTTTGGTTTCTTTCTACATTGCGAAGAGGACAAAACTCTGCCCCGAGAATAGCCCCCTTTTTGTGAAAATAATGTATATTGCGCTGTAGACCAACATTGCTTTTACACATTTTTTTTTGATGAGACTTGTGCTGCCAAAATTTTCTAGAATAGATTTAGAAGGTCCAGAAATGCTGGATATTTAGCCATTTCAATGGAAACACTGTAATTAGCTTCTACTAAGCAAGTCTTCTCTATAGCAAAACAAAAAATGCACGGCCTGTGTTCTACGCAAAACATGACGTCTAAAGTTCAGTTCAGGTTAATATGAAGCTGAGTGAAATCAAGTTACAGTATTTCCATTGTAATAATGTAATAATGACTTTTTGTGCTTCCAGGGAGAATGTTTCCTTGCTTTGCCACAGTTGAAGAAGAGAAACAGGAATTACAATCCTAAAAAAAAGAGGCCGTAAACTTGAAAGATGTTTGCTTATTAGTTCTATAATGTCTATGATAATAGGGGATTTACTTTTGGTAGCCTGCCCTCTGTTTGTGCTGATTTTTCTTTGGCTGGGTGAATATGAAAAACTAAGTTGTGCCTGAGGAAAGGAACATTTTCTTCTACCAGATTTTATTTGCCGATCCTGGGAGAGAAGGCAGAATAATTTGTTTAAGCCTGAGTTGTAAAATAGCCTGTAATTTTGTAATGAAACAAAATGAATTGTTTTGACCGGTGGAACTGTGCTTTTTGGTAACTTGCACACCCATGAGGGTTGGACGCTTTGTGTGCATGACGTGAAAAACTAAAAACTGTTAACCAAATTCAGACTACTGACGCATTATTTGACTTCAGCTTGAATTTAGAAGGAATGTCGGCATGGAACATACGTACGTTTTCTCACCTAAACCTGCACTGACATTGCTGCAAAAGAGGGTAAACGTGCAGCCACTAACACTTTGAATGTCCTTATTGTATATCAGTATTGTAGAGTAATGTCAGAGCATCAGCTAAAACACTTACAGTTACTACTTTTTATAAAAACAATATGTGTTATTGCAAGTTTAAGAAATGTAAATGTGAAATACCGTAAAAAGGAAATGTTGTTCAGTTGTCGAATGAGAGTTTATACTGACAATATATTATTGTAAAACAGAAAAAAGGCAAAGCATCCGTTACAACTGTTAAGTAATGGCTTTATTTTGGAATAAATATACAGAAGTCAAAGACAATTACAAATGCCTGTGTAAAAAAAAAAAGGTTTAAAAAGTATTTACATTTTTTTATTTATTTTTTTTGCACAGAGCTGAGTAAATGTATACATAGTATACAGTACAGCCCACGTAGGTCACTGGTGTCTTTTGCTGTACAAAGTGCAAAAGCTGATAAAAAAAAAAACAAAAACAAAAAAGAAACATGAAACTAAAATAATAATCCAACTACAGGATTCCCCCTTTAGCTGGATGTTGCACTGGTCAGTGTGGCCCCTTAAAATAAAACAAGAACATAATTGATTACAGGATTTAGTCGACTCTGTAGAGAGAGCAGCTTGGCTCAGGCTGTGGGGGCCGTGAACGAGGAGATCCAGGAAAATGCATTCCCTCTCTGCTTTATCGTTTCATTGATAATAAATTACTGGGGGGGTAGCTGTGCCAGACAGGCGTTATTTAAAAGGCTTCATGAGTGGCTGAACACAATGAACTGTGAGGACGATTGTTGAGGTCAAACGAAGGAAGCGATCAAAGATGCTGAACACAGGAGGCAGGAATTGATTCCAGTTTGCATCAGTGCACATGCATGTGAGTGAAATCAGACTTAAAATATAGTCAACAGCGCAGGTAAATTCTTCCTGGATTTGAAGGAGAAATGCTGCTTACTTGTTGTCATAAAACATGTTAAAAATGACATAGTAATTGTAACAGAAAGCACTCCAGCTGTTAACCAGCAAATTAAAAAAATAAACACATAATTGGATCAGCTAAACAATGCAGCAGCAGAAACTTGCACAACCATGCAAATTATGGGATCTGTTTCATTTCAAGATATCGAAAGAGTAAAAAATTCTTAAAGATTGGCCAAAAAAGCACAAAACCTCTTTGTGTGAACTATTGGAGCACATGACTGTTACATTTTCGTCCAGTTCTATTTATCCATGTCAATCCTGGTACATTTGTTATTTGAAAAAAATAAAAATTTTTGGGCTGCTGGCAACCTTCACAGATCTATTTGCAAGCTCAACTAAAACTTTAAAGCCTGCACAGTTAAAATATTATGACATAAAATTGGTTCCAGATTCATAGGGTAAACTAGATTGATTGGTTGCAAATGGGCATTCTGTATCTTCCGACACTACAAGGGATTCAACTACATTTTATTTGACCTTCTAATATGTTATTTTGCCATCAGACTTATACCTGGATAATGTCTTTTGAAGTCAAAGTAATGGCAGTGAAAAAATATCTTCCAGCATTCATCCTCCAGCTTTCACTCTCCTTCCAATATTCTTGATGTTTTTCCAAGCGAGTGTCCGTCATCCTCTAACAGTCCAGTGATGCAGATGGAAAAATCTGCATCTGACAGACATTGTGTGAAATGTGCAGGTGGATTTAATTCAGTCCATTTTAAAACATGAAAAACATTTGTAGTTTATAGGTTTAAGTCATTAGCAGGGCCTTAGGTTACAGAAGTCCAGCTCCTGTGGTTTACGGAGGCCAGTGCAGTGATCCCTTGGAAGAAGATGCCCTGTTTGGGTTTTGCAGTGCAGCGGTCGTCTCTTGAAGCCCTTCCCACAGGTTCTGGAGCAGGGCGACCACAGCCCAAGGTGCCAGTCAGGACACGGGTCTCCACACACCCTGGTGGCTGAAGGTCTTTGTGAAGAATCACAGTCCAGCCCTGGCTTCCCGTCCGGTCTCAGACACTGCACCAATCTCCTCTGGATGCCACGGCCGCAGGTCACTGAGCATGTGTCCCAGTTGTTGGACATCCATTTCCCTATATCAGAGTCCCCCTTGCTGTAAGTCCTCTTCAGGATGTCTCTTTCATTCTCCTTGACACTCTCCTCATCCAGGACACTGTTGTGGGAGTCTACACGACCCTCCTTCTTCAGAACCTTGTCCTCCTTGGTCTGGCGGGCGAGGTAGAAGGAGTAACGGATGCGAGGAGGCGTCATCTTTCCTGCACACAGCACCTCTACAGTCAGGGCTTCTCCCAAAGGCTTCACGGCCATCAGCGTCTCTGAGAGGCCGGCTGTGCCGCTGTAGCGCAGCAGGCTGCTCTTTACAGCAATGTCCCTCTCACCAGCCGACACTACGTAGTTCCCATTGAGCAGGTAATACCCCTCACTGTTCTTCACCGCCAGATAGTTGTCATCACTCCTCAGTCCCTTGTAGCCTCGCTGCCGGATGTCTATGTTGGCTGCACCCACTGGCAACATGACAACGAAGTTGTAGCCATGCCTGCATGCCAAAACATTTTACAGTCAGTGAAGGTTTATAACATGGAGATGATAAAGTGATCATATTGAAGTAAGAGGTGAAAAAGAAAGATTGTCTAAAGGCTATGTTATGGTGAGGTTGGTTTTTGCCAGAGATGTTATCAGGGTAAGACTCGCCACTTAAGAGTCATGAATAGAAATCAATGAGAGTTCTACCAAAGATGGCGTTTGTATAACATGTCTCAGCCTCCCCCTAAAAGCAAATGTTTGCTTTATAACAGCTGAAGTGGGAAACATAATGCCAGCTGTGTTGTTCCACTGACACCAGCCCAGTGCTGTAAAACTGCACACATGCATAAACTGTAGCAAACTTTTTATGTCGTTTTTACTGATCATTCTATACATGCAGCTTCTATGTCCTGGTGACCATTAAAATTCAATTTATTTAGATAGGAGCCTGTCATAGTTACCAAGAGGCATTACCAAGTTGTTCACCAAGTGCTGCCTATTAGGACTTTGGTTTTACTCACACAGGCTTTGTGAAGAGTCCCGACACCTTCTTGCAGCCCTTGTTGTCACCTCCACAGATTCCACATTTATCAAACTTCTTGGTGGAGCCAATTTTGCCATCACAGCCAGCCTTAATGCACTTCCCTTGGACGCACACTCCTGTGGAGTCTGGCGAGCATGGAGTCCCGTCAACGACCTGAGATGTACGGAAATACTTCAAGGTTAGCTTGACTTATCACATCTTAAATCAGAGGAAGCAAACATAAAGGCTCATCCAACACTGACTCCAACGTTTTCCACAAAGGAAGCTTTACTATTGAATATAATGTATTGCTATATTTATTCCTGGCAAAACACATTTTGAAATGATCCCTCATGACCATAAATAGCACTGAACAGATACTAAGATGATGTAAGATACTGTATAATCTGTGGAGATCAGCTCCACTGCAAGACTGTCTGCAAATCTGACTGATAAATTCACTTAATGTAGATGTTAACACCCTAAAACAAGCATTCTTTCATCCTTTACATGAATATAATACCTTAGAGAACAGACATCAAATGAACCTAACTCCAGCTCATGTTTTAAACTAAACTGTACAATGCTTTAAACTAATTTGTGCTTCAAAGTCATGGCTGCGGTGAAAACACACAGCTGCCCTGTGATTCAGAGCCGTGTGTCCCCTGGGTGCTCCTATCTGCTCCTCCTCATGTGTCTGATGGAGTGAAGTGTGAACTCCGTCTCACTGCTGTTCAAGCTCACTCCACACCCTGCTATCTGAAAGTGACAAACAGCCCTCCTCCTCTCCTTCATTCCTTGCTTCACTACTTGCACTGAAACCACAGACAGCTGGCTGATATATATTCATCTTCTACAAGGACTCACTGTTATCTTGACCTCTCAAGATAAAATATCTCCACCTAAACCTACTGTAATCGCACTTTGGTCTAATCAGCAATCAGATTTATAATTTTCTTCAGGGGGAGATGAGTACACTTGCTGTTTACCTTGGGTGCCAGGACGTAGAAGTAGCCGGTGCCGTTCGCCCTACAGATGAGTTTACACCTGTCTTCAGGGGCCACTCCAGAGTATTTTGGTACCCACACCACAGCGTGGCCGATCCGGTTACTGTTGAAGGTGTGGCCGCTGTTCTCACACTGCTCTTCACGGTGAGTCTTGCCTACAAAGACAGAAGGGAGGGAACAGAAGGTGAGGAGGGAATGCTCTAGGGGGTAAAATGTCATCGCTGTCTGTTCTGAGCAGCTCGTACCTGTGTCAGGGCAGCGGTTCAGGTTGCAGGAGCGGTATTTGACCCGAACCCCTTGGCAGTATTTACCCCCATTTGACGGAACTGGGTTGTTACACTCTCTTTTAGATAATTGGACGCCGCCTCCACAAGTGCGAGAGCAGGAACCGAACAGACCCCACTTACCCCAGCGGCCGTCCACCTGGAAATGCAAAAAATTACAAAGACTTTTATCAATCACATCCTGGTTGAGGTGTGTCATGGTATGAAGCATCAAGTATGAGTCTCACCTTCTCACTTTGGACCTGTTTGTCAGAACAGACTCCTCGGTCGCAGACCTGTCCGTCCCCACAGTGGGTGCCATCTGCCCAGGGGAAGTGCCGGGTCATACACACCAAATGACCGCTGGACTTTCCTGTGCACCACAGGCGGCTGCATGGCGGTTGCATGAAGGGACACGGCTTGGAGCCTTCCCCAAAGGCGAGTTCACACTGACGGTCGAGGCTGTAGGACGCTCCCGGCAGCACATCAGGGAGGACTAGAGGTTTTTGAGGCTGGTCGAGTAAACATTCCCCTGGAAGAGGGAGATACAGTCAGCAACACAGAAGTAAAACCAAATGTCTTCTCTGGTTTTGTGACTCCTCTTTACCAGCTATATGCAGTCACACCCAATTATTAAAGATGTTACATCTAAAATTTCCCAGAAATATACGAATATACAAAAAACACCATGAAAGACAATACAATCTTTACTTGTGCTTAAATATTTATACTATCCTTTTGTGTGTGTTGTGGGTGGGTGGGATTGTGGGCTGGTTGCAGTAAGCAGCCTTTGCCCTTGTGATTTGGGCTCTTTGAAGTGAAAGCACAGCTTGATGCAGTGCATGCCACATACCACACACAGACACACACACGCACACAAACACGCATCCCACACACGACCATCCCCACCCCATCCAATCCTCAAAATCCAGCTAAAAACCCACAAGCTTGTCCTCTTTTGTTTCACCCCACCCTTGTTGCGTGACTTGCAGGGATAAAGTTGTACCAGACTAATGTAAAACGTTTCAATTTGAAACTGCGTGCAGCTAGCAAGCAGTGCAAGGGTCAATGGAATGGACTCCATTTAACACACAGAAAATTTCCAGGAGCAGGCTAATAATAGGAAGAGTTTGACGATTAGGTGCTGAATGGAAACGTGGACGATCACTGGATGAAAAGGTTTCCAGGAGAAGCATTTCTTTCCTCAGAAACACACACAGCTTCTCACCCATATGGGGAATTTTCACATCCAAAAGAAGTAATGTGCAGTTTGAAAACCTGGATTCCCTGACTTTTAGCTGTTTATTATACCATTTGTGTTGCGGTGGATTCACAACAAATAATAAGGCAGTGAGTGAATGAGCTGTAAGTGGTGGCAGATTTGTTTCCTCCCATTTCGCCACAAATTTGGCAGAAGACACACACTGATGAACTGCTGATAGTACGATGCTATGTAAACAAGGCACTCTGCACTGCCTGAGCAGAACCTCACCTCTTCCTTCCTACTCTCTCTCTAAAGAGCAATCATGGAAAACAATAGCTGGTGGTGTGTGTGTGTGTGTAGTTGAATTATCATGTTTCAAATAATCCTTGACACAACACCGCATAGGAATTGCCTCAAACATGTAGCAACATGTTTTTTCCCCCCACTGCTTTTTGAAGTCTAGATTTATGACAGGAGAAGCCAAGATACAAGATTTTAACAAAGAAATCACTTCTTGTCAGGTCAAAAGTGTCCATCTATGTCCCTCTGAACTAGATTGTGTTATGTTGCTCTCAGACTCTAAACTACACAGGGAGAAGCAAAAAGGTTTGTCTATTTGGAGTAAACCTGCATGGGAAACAGTGGGCAGATACACCTCGCGGTCCAAACCACTGTGGCGTTCCCCAGAATGAGCCCTGTAATTTGGGACAGATGTGGGGGCAGTTTTAAAATAAAAGTTTAGCATTGCTCCAAGGCCAAGTCCTGTGGTCTGTCCTGTTTGGGAAACAATCTGCATCCAAATGAATGAATTTCTTTGAGGATGTTGCCATGAGCGTGCTCCTGTAGGAGGCTCGGCAGATGTCAGATTTGAAGCATGGCGAACACTGAAATTAAGCAAATTTACAAATGATTTTAGTTATACTGAGGCTTAAGAGGAGGCTTTTCGACAACAGAACCATTAAAGTCACATCCGAATGCACAGACCAACACAAGAGACAAGAGTCTAATTGCATATGTGACTTACACATGAAGGATGTGCTCTCCTAAAGTGATCAATACCAGCTCCAAGTTTGTTAACCACTACTCTTGGATAATTGCGTCTTCAATATTGGCTTCAGACCTCTTCAAAGATGCTATGAGAGTGCTTTCAGCCAAATTTTAGTGTCAGGAGTCATGAAAACTCACCATGTCCACTGTCCAGAAACTCAGTGATGATGGCGGCACTGCAGGGAGACCAGGGGCTGGTGCGGTTGATCTGAATAAGCGTGGGAGACATCATGTGGTTGTCCTGCAGTTTCCCAAACACATCCTCGCAGGCCTTCACGTTGTCGTGTGGCATGTTGAACACGTGTCCTGTCAAGAAGGATTGAGATGTCAGTCATGAATTCTTTTAATCTGAGACTATGCACGGGCACAAAAGGAGCCTTTGTAGCGCTTATGTGTATTGAATGAAGGATGGTGTTGACTGGACGTACCAAGCTCGTGGGCAGTGGTGAAGGCTGAAGGCAGGCCGTCGTCTTCGATCACAGAGCAGCTCCTTTTGGGGTCGCACATGGTGCCAACGTCTGCCATGCCAAGAGTGTCACAGGTGGAAGCTCCACACAGGTCCTGGACAAAAATACATTTACATCAGTACATCTGAGCAGGTCAATGCTGAAATAAAAGCTGGCTGAACGTGGAAGTTAACCTGGATTTTGGGTTTTTTGTCCACTTGGGAGAAATGGAAACCAGTCCCAGCTACAACACTGACATATTTTATGTTGAAAAGTTGATAACAAACAGCTGTGTCTTTAGACAACTGGCAGGTATGCAGAAATATTATCATCTATGTGGAGTTTCTGTTCATCTGTTTAAAGCCAGTCTCATATTGGGTCTATTTTAGCTCTTTTTTTTTTGGTCTGCATGTCTGTCTTTTGAGCTGCTACATACATGTGTTCACCAGTTAGTCGGTAACTGTGTCTGTTTGCTGTCTGGTACTGAGAAACAAATGGCTTTTAAAAGCCTTTTCACTAAAAACAACCATCTGGTGTAACAGTAAAATAGTGGCCCGAACAGTTAAACAGCATTAAGCTGCATGTAAAGCTGAGGGAAGGTGCAAGTATTGATGATAATTCTCTGTAAGTTATTTATTATGATGACCACCCTCACTGTGTTTTGATATTGTCATCTGACACACTGGTAATATCAAAATAAATCAATAGTCACATCAAAGAAGAAATTTAAATATTTCATGGAGTTAATGGTAATTTAGATTTTGGATTCAATGCATTATTATAACATTATATTCATCTAGTTATTTGGAAACATAGTGACACTGCTAAGTAAGGTTTAATGGGAAAAGAAACTTGGCATTTAGGTCGCTTTAAATATCAACCAAACCATCCTAGATAACAGTTATGCTGGATTATTTAAATCACTTCATCTCGATGTAGAAAAGCTACAGAGAAATTAAAAATACTTCCTCTCTGCAAAAGAAACAGTTGTACAATGGACAGTTCGGGTCATAATTTTATCATCACTCTCTGTTTTCTCTAAAGATTTGAAACCTGTCTGCAACTTTTCCTGTTTCGTGCCCTGTCTGACTTTTTGTAGTGATGTCACTTTGTTCCCAGACCTCAGCAATTAACTTGTCTGTGGAGAGTGTCGTTAGTCCAATAGAAACAATGTCCAATTTATGCAAGAAAAGATTATTAAATTATCTTGTGTTGTCATTACAGTAAGATTTGTTTTGTAGAACTTGGGAAAAGATTTAATAGCGTTCAGCAATGCTTTCCACCACCCAGTCTTTAAATCTTTTTAGTGGGCAACAGTGTTTAGAGCACACCTTCTTCTATGAGGTAATGTAACTGTCCCCAACCATAACATTTCCATGCCAGAGCAGAGTTTCCAGATGACCTATTTCTCTACCACAGGGTTTTAAAACCAATCTCAGCGACTATCCTTTTGGAGCTGAACCTCCTAATCACAGGAAAACTTCAGCAGTAACCACTGCAAAGAACCACCCATCTGCCTCGTCCCTAAACAGCACTGTCTCTACATACCCCAAAACACAGAAAACCAGTGGCGGTCAGCTATTACAGATAAAGCCCAGCATGGGTTTATCGTCGCACAGCCCCTCCAATCCTCTGCTGCGCTCAATGTAATCATAAAACACGGTGCCAAGTGAAGACCTCGAGTGCTATGACAAATCATTCCTAGAATAAACCACAAAACCGCAATTGTTGGCCGGTGCAAATCTAGTCCAGATGTGCTCATGTGCGCAGACGACATCTGAATGTTTGGGCCATTTGAGTATAAAATAAGACCTGCAAGATGAACAGGGGAGAAGAAACAGCCGTGTCAATGAGTTTGTTCTTTGCTTTGACCTACTTCCCACATCTGTCATCTATCTTTGCATTTTTTGTGTTTCTGCAATTATAAAACAATAGTTACCTCAGCAAAGAAATATTTCCATTTTATTTTGTGTTCAAATTTCCATGCTTCAACTCCTGTCTGTCCTATTACCTTCTCGGCTTTGGGTGCAATATTCAAAAGCTGTTTTTCTTTTGGGGTTTTTTTTTTTAAAGTACTGCTTGGAGTTTTTTTTTTTTTTTGTCTGATACAGCAGTATCACAGTCAGGGTTTATGACATCCAAACATACTTGGGTGAGTTCCTTTCTTTCTCAGCCCATTATCCATCATGTAAGGAAAAGCAAACAAGCTGTGAGCTACAGTACAGGAACCTCCTCTCTCAGGGGGGAAACACACATTTGAACAGATTTATGGTTAATCTTTTGGCTGCTCTCATACAACAAACAGTCTGTGTAACTTAATGAACTGAGTAAACTTGCAACATTCTTTACACAACAATCATGCTGACTGTAGAGTTTAAAGACAACCACAGTTGCCTCTGGTCAACACCGAGTTGGTCTTCATAAAACCTACAAAATTACTTTTAGGGCTGGTAAACAGCAGACAATGGATGTGCCTTAAATGCCTTCTGAAAGCCACAGGAAACCAAAAAAAAAAAAACCAACTAAACTGACTAAGTTTGAGTCACAATGCCATGAATCCACAGAAGACAGGCAGTCGTCTGACTTCTTGACCTTTGCTGGTTTGCTGAGTGGAATGATCTGTGATTAGTAGACATGTGTGCAGCAGAAACTGTATTTAAAGATGGACGAACCCTCCGTGATGTCACCTAGAGGTTTCCTGAAGTGCGGTTTTGAAACTCCTCCTAACTCCCAGCTAATTAAAAAAGGAGCGAAGAGGTGGAGCGTGGGTGGAGCTGAGGTGGACCATGTAAACGTTTGTGGGCCATGGACTGTCCTGTCATTCAAAGTGGCAACACCCTTTATTATACATAACTTTAAGCCTTAATACCATTTAAATGGCTGAGTTATATAAATAAAAAATCACCCCCTTTGGCTATAGACACCAAAGCTGTTCTTTGTACCAGACTGCAAACATGTTTATTTCTTCTGTAAAATTGGGCATTTTAACATGGGGGTCTATAGGGATTGACTTATTTTTGGAGCCGGCCTCAAGTGGACATTTGTGGAACTGCAGCTTTTGGCCCTTCCACCTTGACTTCATTCTTCATCCAGGGGGATCTCCTGTTTAATGTGAAGAGATCTTGTTTGCTTTTTGGTGCTGAAATGTTCAGTATTGTTGAAGTAACTTGAGTCTGGGATACATGACTTTGTCTGTATACACGCAAAAGACATAAATGGAAAAAAGTCTAAAATAAATAAAAAATTCCATCAGTCAGAGTTGGCAGTTTTACATGCAATTTCATGTTCCTATTAGCTCACATTTTACTGGAGCACTTTGTCCTAAAAATGTTGACAGCTTGGATGTTTTGCACATGATGTTAGCAAGCCCAAAACAATTTTGTAAATTGCTTTATGGTGGAGAGATTACTCTGATGGATTCAAAATTATGGAAAGTGAAAGGTAATTACAGGCCATTAAAACAGAAGCCTGGTTTAAAGGATTTTGCTATATGAGGCATTGAAGCACGACGTATGCATTTACATTTTTTGTTTGTTGTATATTCTGAATGCTGCTTTGCACCTTCACACTGTGCCAGTATTTACCCATTAATAGCCATTATGTGCATGCCAAACCATTTATATAAGAAATTCTATCAGCAGGAATCTGTTTTTCCACACATAGCCTAAGGATTAGAGTCACTGACAAGAAGTCTTCTTCAGTTGACCATTTCTAGTAGATGCAGCGTTTCCTGAAATACAGCACTTTTTATAGTTTGCCAAACGCCTGATTAAAACAGATTAGGTCACTCATTTGGTGCAATATGTTAAGTGAAACAGTGACAGAGTCCCTTGACACCTCTTTTTTTGCTTTATATAGCAGATTACATCCTCATGACTCACTGTAGGCAGGTCCAGTGCAGTTGAATGAGGTGATCTAAACTGGCTGCAGAGCTCATAACATCATCTTTGCATGTGAAGCAGAGACCTGGTAACACTCTAGATGGTGTACTTCAAATACTTTTTTTTGGAAAATACAGACTGTCTTTGAGGTCAGTACCCCTTACAGCACAAAGGATGAATGATAGAGGAAGTGTGTGACAGGGTGAGGAATGGGTTGTAAAGATGCAACTGTGCAGGCTGACTGCAGCTGTGCAGAACTGACCCCTCCAGAGCAGCTTGCTTCAGTCTTGGAGTGAGCAGGTGGGGCGAAAAACATGGAGGGATGTGACTCTGATATACGCGTAGGAGCCCACCACCATCACCACCACACCCCTTCACCCCTCCACCCCTCTCTTCAGGGGCCTGTTTAATGAGGAGCAGACAAGGAGGTGGGTTGGGCTGGAAATCCCACAGATGGAGGAGAATGTCTGAGAGAAACAAGACAGCTCTGACTCGTGCATCCCTGAAGGCACTGACCCTCATTATATTTGGTGAAGTTGCAGGTTTAACAATCATATTTTGAAGTCTGGCACAATCACGTCACGTTAGTAAAGGTAAAGCTGCTGTTGGCATTTTAATTCTGGTGAAGGAGGCTTTGAGTTTGGACCATTTGCAGACTGGAAGAGCACCTAAACAATTTCTGTCTCAATGACTAAATGTGTATCTGCTGGGTGGACTTGTCAACTTTAATTCAAGTTTTCAAACAATGAAATGAAGGCCCATTCATCACACTGACCAGTAGACATAAGCAGTGACTTCATCTCTGACCCTGTGTCAAATATTTAGGAGTGCAGAGAGGAATTGGAGGTGGATTCCAAGTCTATAAAACTACTCTCTAAGGATCCATGAAGAGCAATCAAGCCTTGAGCTCTGTGCAGCTTAAGTAATTTCCTTTGTGGCCCAGCCCCAGTGTCAAAGCTGTGATGCTATTGGTGAACAGAGTGCCTGCTCCCTGAGTTCACCAGAGGTAGAGAGTTTTGTTTTTAGAGCTAACCAATTAACTGACAGCAGGAGTTTCTTTGAGGGGAATCCTGAAATACAAAGTTTACAGCAGAATCGCGTCAAATACTTGCCAGAATATGACTATGAATATTGTATTTTAATCCTCGTCATCATAGTTTTCTTTATGCATGACTTATTAAACTGACAATATGCATTTGCAAATAAAAAAGCCCTACATATTTCGGCATGTCTGTGCGTAATTACGCGTCGTAAAAAAGTGCACTCTTTTCTCTGCTGTTACCTCAAACCCTGTAGCTGTGAACGCCAATAAAGTTTTTTGTTTTTTTTTACCTGTCTAGTGAAAAGAATTGCCGTGTCCCAGTAGTCTGGATGCTTGTCGTTGTTTTTGTTCATCTTTTTTTGCCAAGTGCAAAAGTTTCGCAGCGTCATGGCTGCGTTCCCGGACACCTTGGGTCCTTTGTCCTCCTCGGATATAATCACGATCTTCACAACTGTGATACTGATGGAGTTGAGGATGCTCGGGTGCTTGTAGAGCCGCGCTGCCACTGACATCAGTGTCAAGAGGTAGTGTTTTAGGTCATCTCCATGGAACGTCGCCATGGACTCGTCCGCCACTACGAGCGCCTCCACGTATCTGGGAACCGAGGCAAACCTTTTGGCTCTCCCCATCCTCTTCAGCATCGTTTCGGTCACGTTGTTGTAATCGGTCAGATGCTTGTATTTCTCCAACGATTGCGCAACCTGGACGCTTATGTCGCTGTCCACTGCGCACCTAGAGGTTGAATCGAGCTTCAGGTTGTTGCTGGGTCTGCGCCGGATGATGTGCGCGCTCTCTGCGCTTCTGGTGTCATTTTGTACCGGGCTGATAAAATATTCCCAGCCTTGGAAGCCGAATGCACCCTGTAAACCCTTGCAGAGGCTTAAAGCAGCGTAAGAATACCGGTCACCGTTCACATATCCGGAGTAAAAACACCGGCTCAGGGCAGTGGTGACATCGGTGTTGGGGAGCCACAGTGCGTCTTGGTTAGAAATGGAAGGGGCAATGAAATTAGAGTCTTGCTGCAAATCGATCACTAATTCCTGCTGGAAAGCTCGTATTTTAATGACACATTTTCCACTAAGGATTTCCACGTCGTTGTCAAAATCCCTCCTGTCATCGTTATCCAACCTAACCGGGAAGCAAAGTTCACTTTCCATGCAACGAACAAGCTGTAAGAGTGAGACCAGAAAGTAGAGGAGCAAAGTTGTTCTGATAAACATGACGATATTTGCATTCAGCAAAGAATGCAATGACCAGCAGAGAAAACAAAACGAATACTGAATCTGCAAGCTCAGTGGAAGCGCTGAGAGCCACAGATCAGGATGAGGAGCATAATCCAAAGCGCAGGACTCTAAAACAATGCAGGTCGTACAAGTCCACTCAGAGAAAACTCCTCCTGGTCATGACCCATTCCCATCCTCCACCTGTGTGTGCTGAGTCGACTGCTGCCTTCTGCGGACTTTATGCATTTTCGTCATGTGTAAAAATATGGAAACACAATCTTCCTTAGTGGGGGGGAGTCTGTGGAGCCGCTCATTGGATGCACGTTTCAGCTCAAGACTTTCTCTGCCGCCACTTGAAACTCAGCAAACAGCAGGCCTGTCATCATGTCTCAGCTCAACGTGATCAATCAGTAGATCTTCCACTTGGCGCTGAAACGTTGCCCGGCTTCACAAAAGCTGTACAACTCCATCAAATCACTGCTAAACTGGCACTTTTGGCTTCATTGTGACGACAAAATTAACAAAAATCACTTAATTTCACATAAAAGAAACAAGTTAGATTATGAAAATATTTCATCCATCCCAGATTTTTATATTTAAATAAGACAAATACAATAACTTACGAATATGTGATCTTCAATTAAGCATCACTGCACGGCAGGAATATCACTGAAATGTAAAACTAATGTAAAACAGTGACACAAGTATAATATCGCAGCAGAAGCTCCTCAGAGGAAAACTTTGATGTCATGGTCAGATGTGTTTCTCTGCCTGAATCACACACGACATCTGGTGGACAAAAGAATAACTGAATAAGTGAGTCCTTCAACTTAAAGATCCGCCATCCTATGTTGTAATGAAATGAACTGACACAGGTGCAGAGGTGAAAAGTAACTAAGTACATTTACTCAGTTACTCTACTGTGGTACAGTTTAAAAGAACGTGTACAGGATTTGTACTTAATGACATCCCTTTACTTCTACTCTAATACATTACACATGGATGTATTGGACTATTTATTTACTCTTGTTCCAAATTACGTTGCAGATTAAAAGTAAAAGTACAGTGGTGGAGGGTATTATGTAATCCCATTTAAATTGAATCTGTTTAAGGTACCTTCATTGCATAGAAGGTGTTCAAGCAGCNTTTATCTGGCTATAAGAACAGAAAATACTGGGAGTATCGTCAGAGGTGTTGTGAGGATCTCATGGAACTCTGGGCGCTCAGCTCAGCCCTCAAATCTTTGGATTATAACTGTAAATCCACTATTTGCAAGTTATTTCAGAGTAAAATTAATTAAAAATTTGATACACTGGGAAAGTAAATTTATCCCACTTTCTTTCTGTGCTGAGCCATTTTTTCACATTAATATCACAATGAGTGCAGGCTAGACCAGTATTCTCCAACTTGTAAATTTACTTGTTTTCATAAATAATATGCCTTGTGACAAAAACATCTGAGAACCACTGAGCTAGACCATTTTCCCCAACATTTAGCCACAAGCTGGAATCTTCTTATAGGTTACTAATTACAATTTCATGTAATAATAATTTGGGTCACCGACTCTTCAAATAGTTAAGTAGAGGAGATGCATGTGCTGGTGATGGTGGGTTCCCCTATAAAGGCCTAAAACACAAACCCTACTAACAAATAACAGGAATAATAATAATAACAGTCAGACCAAATCTGCTGCCCAGAGATGTTGCACTGAGCAACTGACAAATTGACTTCATCAAAGCTATAGAAAATATGATTTGAGTTCCTTCTCTAAAACTAGGCGCCACCAGTCTAAAACATCTCTCCTAAAAGAATCCCTTTAAGTGAAGGAAAGTGGGTTTTGCAGGGGTTTTTTTTCTGGTTTTAGTTACTTTTCTATTTACCACTTGTTATTGTAGATCCTAACTTTTATTGTGCTTGTCTTTCCTTTTTTTGTGTTAATTAATTCATCATATGTACTATCATGACTATTGTTTATATCAATGCATCAGATGATAGCGTTATAAAAACTTTTTTCTATTGCCGTTAGAATTTCTGTACTGAGCAGCTATGACATTTAACTGTTGTCTAAGGCAAAAAGAAAAAAAGAAAAATAATAAATAATAAAACACTATGGTCTAACAACGCCACTGGCCACAGTAATATATGTAGTACTTTTAAGGTGTTTTGTAAAGTTAGTGTAGGATCCAGCTCTCAGGCTCCTCTGATGAAGCCATCAGCCTGCTTTGTTTTCAGTTCTCAGCCCGTTGCTAGGTACGCAACTGTTGTTGCTATGCTAAGGACCCCGGTTACGTGTTGTCCACAGAAAAGCCGGTTTTGATTTTAGCATTAAATTATGAAAGAAATATAGAAACAAATTTTCGTTGTTTCAAAGTAAGCCACTAAAAACTAACACTTACAAAAAGCTGAATAAATATGTGTGGCAAGGCAAACTTTACGGTGTCTTCTGTTTCTTTTATGTGTTGGCAGTTAAATGTGCTGGCGTTCATCGTATTTGTTGGTAAACCTAAAAAGTAGTTGTTGAACTCTGCCGCTCTACATTAACAATACTGAGTACACTACAAGCTATAACTTGTGAGTTGTAATGTTAAAAGTTTTGCGTTGAAGACCGTTTGCCCCTTGTGTTTGCACATGAGGACTGAAACTACAGCTTGTTCGCCGCGTCGAGACAGAAAACTAACTGATGCTAACAGCACCGAAGTTCAACGTTTGCATCCGCCGCTAGCTTGCTGCCGTCCAGATGAACTCGTATCACGTTTTGGAGCTGGTGGGAGAGGGCTCGTTTGGCCGAGTTCACAAGGGAAGGAAAAGATTCACCGGCCAGGTCAGCTTTTACAGGAGCACAGTTTGGTTAAAGGTTTGTTTAAGCACATAGTTTCACCACCTGACAATCTCTGTCCCTGCAGGTTGTGGCTTTAAAGTTCATGCCAAAGCTTGGCCGGTCTGAAAAGGAGCTACGAAGTCTCAAGAGGGAAATTGACATCATGAGGGATCTTCAACACCCGAATATTGTGCAGCTCTTTGACAGCTTTGAGACTGAAACTGAGGTGTGTCTGTTTAAACACCAAGAATCCTTTGAAATTTAGAAAAGAAAAAGCCAACACTTCTTTTATCTGCCAAACTAAGTATGTTTACATGTGAGTTCAATGTCTTGTATGTGTGTAACAGGTTGTGGTTGTAACTGAGTATGCAGAGGGGCAGCTGTTCCAGATTCTTGAGGATGATGGGAGCTTGCCAGAGAGCCAGGTATTCACTGTCACCACACAGATACACCAGACATTAGTCTTATCACAATTTAACCTGCTTTACATTTGATTCTTCTCTTCTTCTAAGGTCCGTGAGATCGCCTGCCAGCTGGTCTCAGCTCTGTATTATTTACACTCCCACCGCATTCTTCATCGTGACATGAAACCACAAAATATCCTGCTGGGAAAAAGTGGTGTGGTGAAGCTGTGTGACTTTGGGTATGTTGGCACTAATTATTTTACAGAAAATGAAGCTTTAATTGATCATTTTTAAAAGCATAAACTACATGATGCAATCTTGCTGCAGGTTTGCCAGAGCCATGAGTGTCTCCACCTTGGTGCTGACCTCTATCAAGGGAACACCACTGTACATGTCTCCTGAGCTGGTGGAAGAAAAGCCGTATGATCACACTGCTGATCTGTGGTCTCTGGGCTGCATCCTTTATGAACTCCACACGGGGGCGCCGCCGTTCTACACCAACTCCATCTTCCACCTGGTGCAGCTCATTGTTAGGGACCCAGTCAAATGGCCCGAGACTATGAGCGACACCTGCACGGTACTTTACAGCTACGATCTAGTCATGTTGTATCATGTTTAGGTCAAAGCCAACAACAAAGCACAAAGCAAGCTGACTGAACAGTGAAAACTCAAAAGTCTTATTGCTCCATTTGTCAGCCAGGTGGTTTTGAACTGTGCTTGAGGGCTAGACCATTGCAAGACTTTTAAAACATTCTGGGGTTTTAAGTCCACCAATGTACCCACCACCCTAATGAAAAATATTTTTGACCAGATACCAAAATCAAGTTTCTTGTTATTTCTTGGCGGAAGTAACAGCTACAGGCTAAAGGAGTCAATGAAGACATAGCAGTGTTGTTTGATGTCTGACATACAGATTATATCGCTTTACTTGCGCCATCTTTATTAATATTATTATTATTATTGCTATCTAAAATGTCCTTCACAGAGTTTCTTAAAAGGTTTGTTGACCAAAGATCCTCAGAAACGCTTGTCGTGGCCAGACCTTCTTCACCATCCCTTCGTTGCAGATGGTGTTCTAGGTGATGCCTAAAATTCTTGATTTCAGTGTGAAATTTCCACATAAGCATGACAGCGGACTGTTTGAAGTTATGCTTATATCTGATGTTTTCATGTTTTTGTTCCCATAATGATGTGTTCGCAGTGCTGTCAGACACAAGTCTTTTCAGCCCTCTGACAGTCACACCCAGCCCAGACGTGCTGGCGCAAAAACTCAAGCAAGTGGCAGAAAAGTCCGCGTTGACTTCTGAAGGGAGCAGATTACTGCGAAGGGCCAGGGAACAGAGGGAGAACGGTAACCAAAGGAAACCTTCAGGCACTGACGCTACCAAAGTGAGTCATCGATTGATTTTTTTTTTTTTTTGTAAAAATGTGTTGCGTGGAAAGTCATGAAGGAGATTTAACATTTTCTTTGTGCAATAAAAATAGAAGAAGGATGGAGCGGGGAATGAAAGGGTCACCTCTACGACTGCAGCAGCGTCCCCTAGAGTGAGAACCCCCAGCAGCATTTCAAAGCCCTCCTCCAGTCATGTCTCTGTTATGTCAGGTCCAATGAACGCCAGCCACAGCCTGAACCGAAAGATTCAAGCATGCTCAACCCCAAAACACAGGTGTTTATGGAAGCTCAGTGTAAATATACAATACATTACCCAACACAGACTGAGGTATGTGTTCACACTTATGGGCATTTTCTCTGCAGGAGTCAAATCAGTATAGACTACGAACAGGAATTCCCATCTGTGGAGGTGCGGAGATGCAATAAGGTCAGTCAGACCCCAGTGCATAGGCATGTCAATAACTACTGCTTTTTCTAGTGATACAAAGAAACAGTTAATTTAGAAAATGTTTATATATTCTCTGCTTTTGTATTAAAAGTGTTTAAAATCCTAAAGGAGATGTACCAAAGAATGTCCATTATTTTTCATGCTTTCAGGATGATGATGACAGTCAGGAGTTTTGGCAGAATCTGGTCCAACAATCAGATCCAAGCAGTCAGCAGAAAGAACAGTTAAACTATAGCGTCATTATACCTCAACTTAAATCCAAGATCCTGGAATTTAAAGCTCAGGTAATTAGGTGCAATTTTTCATGGATTCTTCCTCAAAACAATTTTGCACTTACTCTTTTTTTTTTTTTTTTGACCAGCTAACAGATGGCACTGTCAAAGAAATGCAGCAGATTCACCAACCACTGAAGCTCCTGCATAATCTCATACTGATGCCTGACCTCGAGAAGTCGTACAACATCACCCGTGAACTCGGACTACCCCGTGTCCTCTTTGACCTGATACACGATACTGTAGAAAACTCAGATTTAATCAAGGTTATTGTTCGGGAACGGAAGACTATTCAACAATGCATTACTTCTGCAGCAGCGTCCCTGACTTTTCTGTACTTTTTCTCCTGCTCAGCAACAGTGCACCGTGCCTGCCCTTGGAGAAATGATTACAGTGCTCATGACCTACTGGGAGAAGCACTGTGACTGGGTGGAAGAGGAACACAGGTTTGATCAGCCTTTTTTTTTTCTTGTACGTGCAGGCAGACTGTCACACATCACAGTCAGTCAGATATTGCAGCTCATCATCTCCTCTCATACTTTAGACTGAAAGAGTTCACCAAGCCCTTCAACACAATCCTTAGTCAACCAAATCTCAATCCGTTGGCAGTAAGTACCCACTGAACCTAAAAACCTTCAACCATGTTCCTATGCTTCACCTGCTATATGTTTTGTCTCTCTGGGAAATATTTTTTTTGCTCTACAATAAGCTGGACTGCTCTGTGACACAGTTCATTTTCTTTCTTAGCCTCTGGCTGCCTCAGTTTTATCTCTCTTCACACAACATGATGTTGATGTTGAAGTTGATATGAAGAATCTGACTTCCGTGCTGAAAAATCTGGTCTTGGAGCCATTTGAGGTACTGAGACTGTAAATATTAGGCAATGATTTGATTGATTTTCATCAAAGTTTTGAGTGATTTGTAATCATATGAGCTGTTTTTCTGCCTTTCCAGCCTCAGGTTTCCCTCCCCTCTGGTTGGGGACTCTGTGATGGCCTCTTTTCTTTGCTGCTCTACGCACTCTCAGAGGTTAGACAGCAACCACAGTGTGACTAAACATTTGCTTGAATGGATTTCAAAGACAGACCTCTACCTAATACCTGTGCTCTGACTGTTTCTTCTTTAACAGCATGAAAACAGCCCTATGTCTTCCAGTTTGAATCCAGTTATGTTTCAGGATCTGTGGAAAGAGATCGGTACTTCATTAGCAAATACAACTCCAGATCTTGACTTTTGTTCACGAAATGGTAAATATCTGCTTCTTATGAATCCTGCTCTATTAAAATAACACCTTTACTTAATAAAATAAGTTTGTTTTTTTAATTTTAGGGCTGCATTCCTTTCTGTCCGCTGTGCTGTTTGTCGTCACCAAGGATCCATCCTCATGCATTCCTCTGTTTTCTGAGAATGGATCTACATGTGTGTACACTCTTGGCCTGCTGCTGGGCACTGACTGGTTAGTGTTCAGATGTCTTAATTAACCGACTGTTTCCTTTGTACCACAAGTCTTAGAACTACACAGCCACAACGCCTGGAGCTAACGGTGGCATCTTTTATACCCTACAGTCTTCATTTGTTTGCCAAAGGCCATCCTGGGAGACCCGAGGAGGATCTGAGTCACTACAGCTTATCTGCATTGAGCTGCCACTTGTTATGTTTTCCGTTTGCTCTGGACCTGCCTTCACACACCATGTCCACAATTCTCCAGCTGTACGACAGCTGTGGTATTGTTGCAAACCTCCTGCAGGTTAGGGCCTTCCTCATGCTCCAATAAAGACCTCGCTGACAAACATAATTCTCTGATGCAACCCAGGATAACTCTTGCACTAGTATGGCATGTAGTACTGTACAGCCTTAATGTGTCTGTACTTTTGGGAGAGCACTGTGTTGTTTTGTTGTCGGCTGTTTGATGTGTGACGAGTTGTCTGTGTGATTATGTTTTTCATGCTTTGGCAGGTAATTCAAACTCTTCCCCCTCCGCTGCTAGAGCTGCCTCTCTCCCTGCTGAGCCGGTTGCTCCTGTGTGATCCGCAGCGCTCTGTTGTGCACCTCAGAAAAGCTGCTTCTGGCTTTTTCTCAGCACCACAGGACGGCCAGCTCGCAGCCGCCGGGCATCACACTCCTCTGACCAGAACTGCCAGCGCTCTGCTCTCTGAGTTGCTGCAGCCAGATGAGCTGTGGGACTCCGCTGTGGAGCTCCTAACTCTGCTGTCCCAAGTCGCCCGTTGTTCCCCTTCGCCTGCCTGCCTTCAGCTTTATGTGGAAGCGTCGGTGCTGCAGCAAGCACTGACTCACTCTAATGACCAGATCAGGGCAGCTACATGCAGACTTTTGGGAAATTTGCACCCATTCAGGCCTCTAACACCAGAAACCCTGCAACTTAACATTTTCAAAGGCATGATAGACTGTCTTCGTGATTCCTTCATGCCTGTCCGGCGGATGGCTTGCATGGCGGTCGGGAACTGGTTGGGTTATATTGCAGAAGGGTTTAAAGTGAGCAGGCCTGATGAACACTGCAGTGACACTACAGGGTGGCGCAAAGAGAAGGAACCGAATAAACCCAGGTGTTTAGATATTGAGGAAGCGTGTGATTTGGAAACAGTAACAGAGCAGACAGTTGACTATGAGGAGGCGAGGGAGTGGACAGAGGCAGCCAGGAGGACGGCGGCCGTCCTGGCAGATCTGATCACTGACCCCGACGCCACTACGCGTCGTCACTGTTGTGCAGCCCTGGGAAACCTGTTAAACGTCGACGGCGCTGTATCCTTGTTGCTGAAGGAAGACGTGCCGGGCGTACTTCTGAGAGCCGCATGCACTGATTCCCACAATGCAGTGAGACAAGCTGCCATATCGACTCTGAGGCTGTACAGCCAGCAGGACGCACTGGGACAGGTAATGGAACCATCAGGTTACAGGAGGGCAGATCACTTTCTGCTTTAAGAATGAGGAACTTTCTATAATTGTTACAAAAGCAAGAAAAAAGCGAAAGCTGTTCACACTTTTCCTTTTAATGCCTTTGAGGCTTTCCTCTTAATTACTGTTAGTTGTACTGCCTTGAGCTTGTTCCTTCCTTTACATAAATGTGTTCCCTGCATATTCTTTCATGGACCAGTAAAATGTTTTTGCCTCAGTGACTTTAAACATGTATAGGAATAATTTTAAGTTAATCCCCCCTTTTTTTTCCCCATTTATTTGAAGGTCCTGATGTCTTTAGATGCCAGTCACAAACTTCTTCAGGCTTCACATCAGGCACCTGCACAATGTGACTATCATCAGCTCATTGAACAGCTGCAAGTGAGTCCAGTTCAGCAGAAGTGAAAGCACATTCAAAGGTTTTCCTTCCTTACTTTATAGTACTTTTTCTTGAATTTAAGAAAAAAGTGTTAAAGAACTACACAGTCATACTCTCTTTATTGTTTTCAGAATAATAAATAATAAGAATAACGCATCAATTTTTACTGTTATAATTTGGTAAGGAAAAAAAATCAGGGGCAATCGAAGTTCCATACAAACGACTGTATTTTCTCTTTTTTTTTTATCAGTTAGGATTTTTATTTATTACATTTCTTACTCTTAATATTATTAAATAGTCGCTACAAGGGCGATACATGGGTAGATGAGTTCACTTTATATTGGAAATATTTTAGTTTTGATACATTTTGGTTGCTTTTTACGCACGTGTAGATTTTTCGGAGAGCGTTTTTCCTTATCCGATACCGGCCATGTGAGGATAGCGGCATATTGTACAGAATTTAGTCATTTGGGGTAAAGTTGCGATTTTGGCCTGTATTTTTTTCTTCTTCTTTTTTTTTTAAATCGACTTGATTTATTGAACTGTCGGGCCACAGCGGGAGGCAAAAGGGGGCATTTTAGGAAGATCGGACGTCAAATCGAAGAGTTAATTCCTTCTTTAATTGTTTGTAATTGCATTTTTAGCCTAATGTCGGCACTGATAATATTATTAAAAGTTGTCAGTCCTCTCTGTAATTGTGTGAGAAGCGTTTGTTCCGACGGGGTTGGATGAAGAAACAAGGAGCGCTTGCGCGTCCATCAGGCCCTGGAGGTCGGAACTTTGCTGTGCGTAAAAAGAAATGATTTATTACATCCAAAATAGAAGAACTGGGTTAAAATCTCAGGCAGTAAATTGTAATTTCGGATTATAACGGTCGGTGCAAGCAAAAAATTATTTTCTGTCAGTTTCTGGAGTCGGAAAAAAGCCCCACACACACAACGGGCCAAGTTAATGACACACTTTATTTTTTTAAAGGAAAAAAAAAAGTCGACATCACACAAAGGAAATATGCGAATATGGTTAAATTACCTTGAAATTACAAAGCGTTCTAATGTGCTTTCAGGACACATTTTTGGTTTTAACATTCGGAGTTGATAGTACACCGCAGGGGGCTCAAACAACATGACATGGATTTATAGGCGAAGACTAAATAAATAGTATAAATAACTGACAATAAATAAATGAGCGCTCGTATTCAGGATTGTCTTAAAATAAATATGCATAGAAAAAAAAACTATCCTTGGTATAGACATGTATAACAGTAACAGTGGTTGTTATTTGCTTCGAATAACAACAGATGAATTGGAAAATTCAGACAGTATCCTCTTACACCAAAGCTAACGCTGCAAAAGCCTCAACAAATAATCTAATGAGATTTTTCTTTTCTCAGTTTAATTTCTAAAAAGAAAATGCTAACACACTCCACTCCCTGAACATATAAAAGTTGTTACAAATTAGTGCAGATCAGCCAGAGGCCTATAAAACTTATTGCCTTAACAAGCAGTTTAGAGAAAGAATCCCCCGACTTATTTCTGAAACCCTACATTTTCTATTCCAGAAAGAGAGAGAGAGTACATTTATGCAAAGGCATGCAGAGGGAGGCTGCTAAAACGCCACTAGTTACAATATTTGTACATATGGAAATCCCATTTTTCACATTAGGAAAACCTGTGTGCCAGTAAAATCCTGTCAAGGACAGAAGAGCTTCAAGTCTCCTGCTATGATTATCTACTGATGTTTGTAGGACTGGAGGATAAATCTTCTATCCTGAGCTGCAAAACAGATTGTATAAATTGCAATATGCAAGAGAAGGAAACTTTACTGCCACCACACACTTCAGAACAGTAAATTAATTCTCTTTTGGTCACACAATGTAGGATATAATTTGGGCATTATTTGCAACCATTGCTTAGAAAAACAACGGTTTGATTTGTTACATTAAAAGGAATGTAAATATCAGAAAAAAAATTAACAAATGTAAATACAAAAGACAGTGGAATGTTTTTAACAAAGCAGGGTAAAATGCTCAAGACATACAAATCCCATTAGATAGTTATTATTTAGGGCTACACTACACCTGAAGTCAGTTGTGTGCTTCTTCAAAAAATAGTAACAATATTAAAATGATTTAAAAAAACAAAAAAAAAAATCGCCAAGTTTTTTCCTTATTTGTAGGCTGTATCAGCGATTCTTTCCGCATTCCTAAAACTCAACACATACTCAACAGCAGTTCTAATATTTTAAAATATTCATACTAATGGAAATATTTGCTGTTGGAGGAAGGGTACAAATTATTCTAGAAAAGCATTAGATTTGAAAGATGTGCACAAACTGAAATGTTGACACCAACAACACATTCGTCTACTCCGACTATTGAAAACGCTGATACAGTTATTGCGAGAAAAAAAAAATTAAAACAGAAGAAAAAAAAAAAGAATTCAATTCTATTGCTGACATCAATTTTAATGTAAGGCTATTAAAAATATAAAACCCGCATTTTGAATAACATCACGTCTTCAGATATTAACCCTATTGTAATTATCACGAGGTGCGAGCTCTATTGAAAATGATTGTCATTTAAAGCATTGCAATGCCACAGTGCAGGCTCAAGTGATTGGACTGCAAAAGCAATGGAAGCATTGGATAGTGTGTTGAGTTCAAATGTAAAAAATAATTCACATTAGCCAAACATGCATTTACCCCCTCGCCATAATAAAAAAAAAAAAAAATTAAACATTCATTTGTGGACAAACCTAAAGACACAAAGAGCTCCACAATTTTCCCTGTTACACTCTGTAAGTGTACTTGCAGCAGTGTGGTGTTATGCTGTTGTGTCCTGCTTGAGCCTTTGGCTACGGGCCTTGTAAACTTCAATCAGCAGGTCTTTAACATACTGGATTTCACGTTCTACGGACTCTGCCTTGTCCCGGAGCTCCCTGTTCCTCCCTTCAAGGCAATGCAGCTGCTCCTCCAAAGAATCTAGCTCCGCCCTTTTTCGCTGGCGATACCTGCGTCAAGTAAAACAAAGATTCAGTGAAGTTGTTTACTTGTGAAATCAACGCTTGCATTTCGTCAGGCAGAAACAAAAACTTACCTGTGAGCGGCAGTTTTGTTTTGGTCTCGCTTCTTTTGTTTGCGTTCTCCGCCTTCAACTGGAATGATGTCCACCTCGTATTTCACAGCACAGTGGTCTTCTTTCAGCCTGCACGCTTGTCGGTGCCCTGAAGATTCCAGGTTCAGACTCTCCCTAGCCATTAAAAGACACTCTGGGCCCTGATCTTCAAGGAAATTACAGTGTAGATCATGCTGAGCAATCTGCAGACCCTCTGATTTCACCTGTTCGTTGATGTTGCCTAAGAAGCTATGATAGGCCTCAGACTGTGGCGTTGTTGGAAGATAACAGCCTTCGCCCTCGGTTTTCCAAGAAACGGTGGCTTTTGTCACCTCCACGCTAGTTTTGATACTGTTGAGCACCTCGTTGTTAGCAGTGCCTCCGCTGACCTCCCTCATGCTATACATCAACAGATCCTCTTTCTTGTGCGGGACATCCAGTGTTCCACCAAAACCAAATCCACCACCAACAACCTTCGCACCACCTATCACATCTTGAGTGAAACAGCAATTTTTCTCGTCTTTGGGTAAAGCGCCACATCGTCTAACCTCGACTGCACTACCCAGGCAGTAACTTTTCCCTAGCAGCTGGTCGTCCTCTACACAGCCATAATTCCCTGTAAGGGTCACAGCGGAGTTACCTGAGTTACTTCCTTTGGAACTCAACAAACTGTTGTCATAGCCTTCACTGAACCTCACACCGTCAGGAACTCTTTTCCTACCACACCCACTGGGGCGACTGCAGCTGTACGGGGCGTGTCTTGGAATTTTGGATCGCCCAATGGGCCCGCCACAGATGCTCAGCAGGTCCAGTTCACCGGTTGCCAGGGTAACAAGAAGTGGGCTGGTTTCCGATTGGTTCGATGTCGAGTATGATGCATATGGCAGCTGGCTGAATGGCTGAGGACCCGCTGGCAGTGGACCCCTGTCGCATTTTCCCAGCCTCGGCCCTTTCTCTGGCAGTGGTTCAGACAGGAAGTAGTCCTCTAGTTGTGCGAGTTCCTCTTGCAGCAGAGAGGTCATGACCTCCAAGTCAGAGGGCACCTGGATATCATTCTGAAGAGGTGAAGGGGGAAGGGAGGCATTGGTGGAGGAGGGAGGGGAAGGAGGGTTTGGGAGGTACGAGGAGAAATCCACTTCTTCCGTCATCCAGTCAGTGAGACCATCACCTATTGAGGAGCGGCATTCGTTATAAGCTGTTCGGTGGAGGGAAATAATATTACAGCTAAAAAAAATAAAATAAAAAAATAACGTTCATGCAAAAATAAAAACGTCACTTATCCAGCAGTGCACGTAAAGCATAATCTGATCGACATTAGCCATTGCAAAGCAAAACATTTTTAAACATAAAGTTGCAGCTTATCGATATAATAGACGTAGCTAGTTTATTACTTACTGTTCAAGAAGGACGAATGTGCTGCAGTGCCGAGCCCACCTGAAATGGGGAAAAATATAAAAAAGCGTACTCGCTGCAACTCACCAATTAAGTGCTGACTCTCCTCTGACACCTCCCCCCTGCACCCCTGTGATTGGCTGTGGTTAGCCTGTGGGTGAGAGAGAGCGAGGGGGTCTGCCGGGCAGACACGAAGAGTCTTCCAAACAGGAGCTGATGTTGCCATCATTTTGTCTGTTGGTGCTTTGATTCAGTCCAAGTCCAAGCATATGCTGAGAGCAAGCAAGGTCTGACAGATGGGCCACAGAGAGCAGGGCTGGGTGAGCATAATGAAACCTGGAGGGTAAACAGAGAGACAGATCAGTGTGTGACTGAAAACATCCCGCTCATTCAGTCGACTGATGGAATCAGGAATATCAGGCGCTGCTGCCCTCAGCAAGTTTCGCGACATGACTCAGTGTGTTTTGATGAGAAGATACAATGAAGAAATCACCTTCAAATCCTGTAAGTCATGCATACTTGGAGGATACACAACCGCTCTCCTAAACAAGCAGATTTTGAGCAAACACCAATCAGCAAAAAACTAACTCTGCTAAAAAATCCCACCCCTCAGATTTGGCACCAGTGAGTGATACAGAAGCAGGAGCTGGGTCCTTTGGGCTTTGAACTGCCTCAAAGCAAAAAGGCACTTGACATGCTCAAAACACGTGGGACCGAGTGACGCTGTCAAGGGCCCAACTGTTGACAAGAAGCTGCACAGTAATTATCTTTCTCTAAGTGAGAGACATCCTGCCGGCTAAGTCGGATTAATGCAGATGAGCTGCTTCAAAATCGCATGTTCCTTTAAAATTAATCACCTCTGATCACTTAAGCAGTTTAGGTTACAACAATGAGGCATCTAGATGTAGAAAAGCTGGCAAGACATGCAACTGAAAGTGACAAATACATGATGTTGTATCTCCAGTGTTGTGTCCACAGCGTGACAGTACATTTATAATTTACCACGGTGCTAACAAAGCTGCCACACACTTATAAACAACTACAACCCGTGGCATGAGCGTTGATTTTGTTTTAAAAAGTCAACAATTCAGTCAAAAAATTTAAAATAAAACAGAATAAATAATGTAAAGTTCAAACACTCCGCCATTGGTGACAATAAACAGCAACAAACAACAACAACAAACTTATGGACAGCGAGTAGAGAGAGTTACACTTACTCCATTCTTGCAGAAAAAATTGTAGAGCACTTGGGGGTGCGTTGCTGAAGCAAAGCACGACTTGTTTTCGGGTCCAACAACTGAGCGAAGTTACAGAGCCATAATTTAGCTCGGAATATCCGGGGACAAGGCGAAAGGACGAGATGTTGCTTTGTTGTGGTCGACCTGTAAACTGAGCAGCAGCTTAATTGCGACAAAGCACCAGTTCATTCACACCTAGCAACCAACTGCGTCACCGGGATAAACCGTGCTGCTCGCTACAGATCCCTCCGCCCCTCCCTCCGCCGCTCACCGACACACGGCCCACACTCAGCGCCGGGCTCCGTTACTACAGCTGGGAGGTACTTTTTTACATGTTGTTTACCCCAAAAGTAACGCAGTATGTTATCATTTACTGTAATATGTGACATTGGTGTTATAATGCAACCAAAAAATGGCGCTTCATGTCAACAAAGTGAACAGAAATGCGTTGAATGTGTTGTTTGGGTCTACAAAGTTAGCAACGATGTTAAAAACATAAAACGGGCATTCGTAGCGGGGGTAATAATAACAATTCTGTGTCAGAAATGCAGAAGAAATAACAAGTGGCCCCAACACGTGTTGAAATCCGAATAGTAATCCCATTACTGTAACGGGGTACGCTTGTCATTGTTTCCCTGTACCCCTCTGTTGCTATAGAGACGAGGCGGCGCCTCGGTCTCTGAGCAGGACAGGGCGTCACCGCTGCTTATCCTCCACAACCTGCTGAGAGCTTTAATTCACCTGAACGCGGCTCGCCAACACACAGTACCGCGCCGCAGAGTCCGCACGTTACCATCAGGCATGGTATTGTTTTGTAGAGGGACTATTTGATCCACAACACACTTTGTTGTTTAGTAGAAGTCTGTTGCATCTCCGTTGCATCAGTGGTCCACGCTCAGAGCGATTGGCTGCGCGCGTCCAGACTGCCGCTCTACTATTGGTCGGCAGCGGCTGCATGTGAAATATGATTGGTCGGTGGTCGGCAAGGCGAAGCATCACTGTGTTGTTATCTTTTTTTTTTTTTTTTCCTGCAGTGCAGACTGTGCACATGTTTCAGGTAAACAAACCGGGTGTGGAGAACCTTGCAGCAGTTTTTAAGGCTTTGTGTTACAGTTTTGCCAAAGTCATTTATGTAACGTGTGAAAATGTGTGATTTTAAAGCTGAGAAAACGAATAACAGTGATTTGAAAGATGATTAACTTTATTAATCTAATAGTAATGCATGCTGTCACTGCAGGGATACTGTTTCTTTGTATTATAATTTGGCAATTACTTTAATGTCATTATGAAAAATTTCACTTGTTTATTCAGTAGCTGTCAGCTCATGTGTCAGCTGTCTGCTCAGCTTCACCGGGCATTGTCAGATGAAGTGACAGTGGAAGATAAATTATTCACCCTGGGTTGCCGACTGTTATCCTCTGAGAATCCTTATTTTTTGGGGATAATTTAGCAAGACGTGAATAGTGGAACTAAGTGAAGTTACTGGAAATGACAATTATGTGAAGAATAAAGGTTTGTTTTCTCCTTTCAGCAAATCCCGAAGCTGAGCGAATGTGCTGTTCTCCTGTTGCTATAGTAATAGCGGACACTGCCCCCTATTTTAGACTTGTTTTCTGGTTGCTGTTGCCATGGGATTTGCATCTCTATCTCTCTCTCTCCCTCGTTTTCTCTATACCTACTGTTTTCCTTTTACCTCACCGTTGTTTCGGCACCCCTCCCTGTCCAACCATTACTCCATCTCATTTGCTGAGTTGCATCTCTGTGACATTATCATTTCGCCAAAACCAATGGGCTTGTTTCCAGTTCTGCTGAATTTACATGTTGATGGGACACTGATGCGACTAGCCTGTAATAGATTGTCCACTTAGAGGCATGCCTCTGTGTTTTGATTGGAAGTCTGAAAACATCTAACTTGAATTGATTGCTCCTCATCACATTATCCAGAATGTTTTCAGAGGAGTCACACAAAGTGAAACATATTGTTTGAACGGTCTGTAGATTATAGCGAATGCGATTAAAATGTCCCGTGTAGGACTCTGTGTCCATCTGTGGTAATCTGACGCATTTAAAGGGGCAGCTGCATTCCGGAGGAGCTGTTCAGCAAAATGCCCACCGTGTGGTAGCTACCATATCAACCGAGCTTTGAGAGATTTGTAGAAAGGGAGCCTGATGCAATCTCGATAAATGTGGTCGTAATGGATACCAGATTGAGATAGTAGTAGCTGGTGAAGTTGGCGGGTCTCCCAGGAAATCGCTGACTGCTCTCTCCTGTCTGTATTAATTGGTCCACTGAGAGCCTCCTGTTTGCGCACCATAAGAGAAATCCAAGGTGCTCCTCATGACAGCCGGCTGCATTTCCCTATTGTCTCCACTATTAAGTAGAAATTTCTTTGTCATTATTTGAGAAGAAATAGTAGACTGTGTCAATTACACAGCAAGGAACCTTATGTCTCCCTCCTCCTCTAAATAGTCTAACGGACTCAGTGTCTCAGAGCAAGAACTTGATTACAGAAATCTGCCAAAACAACCTGTTACAACAAAACGGCCAAACTTAACCAGCCAACGTCAAGAAGTTTGGATCACACCAGGCTTCAGCTGTATTTGAGAGACTTATTATTATTGTTTCTACAGCGAGACAAAGCTGTCCGTCAATTGATACCCAGATTCATTGTCTGAATATTGTGTATGAGCCGAGAAGTCAGAAAAGTCGATGCTGCATGCCAAGTGCACGTATGGCACGTTAGTAAGGGTTACACCATCATTTCATCATCATCTCTCTCAGAATTTATTGTCCTCAACTTTTGCCCCTCTTTGAACATATGAAGAAAACATGGAATTCAGTTAGGTCTTGTGAATGGAAACCTCTCAGAGGGGATTTGAGGATGTTTCTGAGTGTGTTCAGCCTGCAGATCACTTCCATTTGTTTCCATGTTTGGCATGAAAACAGGTAATCAAGTCCTAAAAAAGTGGCAGCGACAATATAATTTGTATTCATGAATGTTTAAATTAAACTAACTTCCATTGCATTAAGCCGTGACAGACGGGAACCAGTCAGTGTCAGGGTCATGTTTGTTTACCGTTCCTCAAGGACTTTATGGTAAATTAGAGGTGTTTGATGTAAAGGACTACAGCGTCTGTTTTGTCCTCCTTTGGGATGTCGCAGGTTCCAGTAGATCGTCCTTAACTAGCTCTAACTCCTGGTATTTTGAAAGACAGCGTGCGTGGCAGACAAAGCTCAACCCACACTGACCTGGTGTAATCGGTAAAAACCTACTTAAACAACAGCAGGGTGATGAATTAGCGAATGTTTTTGATGGAAAACTAAATGTTGTACAAAAAAGTCTTTGCAGAAAGTTTGCAGAGATTACAGACGGTGTGCAGAAAAGCAGAATAATCGATGACAGTGAAGTGTCACAGATTGTTCGTGCATCACTTGTGTTCTGCAAACTTTTAGCTCTTTAAGCAAACACGTCCCAAATGGTTCCTCGGTGTCATTTACAGCACTCAGGCTGTGCGATGCCGCTCTGCAGAAACATTTAAACCCCAGAGGCTCTCCGTCTATCACCTCTGAGCTTTACACAGCCGATATTTATTCAGGCCATATGCTTTATGGCCATCGCGATGCAACTTATACTGTTTCCTTAATCGGAGCCTAATTGAACTGTTGTTCACCCTTATTTCTACTCTGAATGTTACTTTCTGTGGCATTTTAAAACTCCTGGCTTTATTGTACACTATTATAATTCATCATTTAATTTTAGTGGCATAGTGCTGCTTTGAGTCACTTTATATTAATTTAAATCTAATTCCTAGATCACCAATTGTGCATGCAAACAAATACACAGAGGGCAAAGGTCAAGGACATGCTGCTCCAAAATGATCACACAGTGCACAAAAAAATACTAAATAAAGCAATAATTTCAGATTTAGACCATTTCTTTTACATGTAATAGTGAAATATTATTGCTATTTAATTGTGTAAAAAAACACT